GGGAGCACTAAAATAAATCTCACGGGCGCCTGGGTGGCTCAGTTGGTTAGGCGACTGCCTTTGGCTCAGGTCATGATCCTGGAGTCCCGGGATCGAGTCCCGCATCGGGCTCCCTGCTCAGCAGGGAGTCTGCTTCTCCCTCTGACCCTCCCCCCTCTCATGTGCTCTCTCTCAAATAAATAAATAAAATCTTTAAAAATAAATAAATAAATAAAATAAAATAAAATAAAATAAATCTCACAAATGGAAAAAGTCAAATGTGCCTTCTGTTTCTGTGTTTGGTGCACTTAATTCCTGGGTTCTGTGACACAGACTAGTTATGAAGAAATTCCTCAAATGAAGAATAGGTCATTTAGAACTTACTAGCTCCGTAATAGCCTAGACCGGTGGCTTGCAAACTTTTTGGCCTGGGGACTTCTTGACACTCTTCAAATGATCTTAAAAACTATGGAGGACTCCAGAGAGCTTTTGTTTATGTGACTTTTAACTACTCATTTGTACTGCATTAGAAAATAACATTTAAAAATTTTAAATATCTTATCAATTTATTAAAAAATAAGAAAGAGATCACATGTGAAACGAAATACGTCATTTTCATTACAATAGAACTATATTTTCCCAAACAAAACAAAGATTGGTGAGAAATCTGGCATTGTTGTATAATTTTAGAAATCTCTTTCACATCTGGCTTCAGACATCTGGCTGCATTCTCCTGCCCGGGTCTGTGTTCTAGCTGTGGCGACATCATACATGTAGCTCTGGAAAGTTCCACTGCAAGCCCATGAGAGAAAGAGAGTGAACAAGTCAAATGATGTATTCATGTGTTTATGAAAATCCTTTGATCTTGAAATCCATCTGAAAGGATTTCGAGGGTCACTGAGCCATACTTTGAGAACTATTGGACTGAACAACAGCAAACCCCTAATTTTAAGAACACATGTTTTTAAGGTACAGGCTTTTAAGCACATAATCTCTGAGATGAATATCCCTTCCTGTAGAATCAACTGGGTATTAGAGTTCTTGTTTTTCCCTTGACTTTAAAGATAATCCAGAGCCAGGAAATTCTAAACAAAGAACAAGGACTCCAGTCCATCTAGACTCAGCAAGGACCCCGGGTGAGGGCGGTTATTACCCCAGGGACTATCACTTTATGTGCAAACACCAAACAATTACAGGAGTGTACAAATGTAATTTTGGTCTCCTGACTTATGTAAATTCAAGCCTGCACACTTAATCTTTGTACTGTGAGTGCCAACAAATAAGATTCCCCTAGGATGTCAACAGATGTGGCGATTAGAGACTGTTCCAAACTCTTGGACTTTTGGGGCCCCAAAGAGAGGGGAGGCCCTCCATATAGCGGCCAATCAGAGGCAAAAGGGGCCTCTTTGTCTTGAACACCAATACCCTGTGGTTCTTCCACCCCAGATCTGTCTCAGATCTCCTGCCTTGGGACAGGACAAAGTCTGAGTGTTGGCTCCATGTTACTCCTCCAATGAGAAAGATATTCAGTGTTTTGCCACATACCACAATTAGGAAACACTCAAATGCAGCATTACTTAATAAAGCAATTTAGGGGGGGCCTGGGTGGCTCAGTCGGTTAAGCGTCTACCTTCGGCTCAGGTCATGATGCCAGGGTCCTGGGATCGAGTCCCGCATCGGCGTCCCTGCTCATCGGGGAGTCTGCTTCTCCCTCTCCCTCTGCTGCTCCCCCCGTTTGTGCTCTCTCTCTCTCAAATAAATAAACTCTTAAACATAAAGCAATTTAGAATGCGCTGTCTTGTTTCTATATATGCCATCAACTAAGCAAATGACAGGGGAATCACAATCCCTTAATTCATCATTCTTTGTGAAACAGTGTGACCCCCTACTCCCTTCGTCCCTCTCTCCCTTCTTTCTACCTTCGTTCTTACCTCAAATATTGATTACGTACCCATTATGAACGAGGCACTGTGATAAGCAGAACCTCATATTTTCCTGGCTACCAATTCGGTGTATTTGTAATTATTAAATAATCTTTTTTCCTAAATAAGAGGAAGGCATGCCCACTATAGGATATTAAAATTATAGTAAAGTGTAAAGAAGGCAAGGATAATTGCCCATAGTTAATCTCTAGGGGTAATTTTAATAAATTCTAGATTTTTCCCCTGTGGTTTCACCTAGTTGAGATTATATGTGGACACCATTTTATATCCTGATTTGTTTAACATTGGATCACGAGCAGCTTCAATGTTATTTAAAACTCATCATAAACCTAACTTTAATGCCTAAAGTTGATGATAAATATCTCAATGGAGAAATCTTATTTCCCATTTCAGATTTCCTTAGGACCAGTTCCTTCCTGGAGGTAGAATTACTTGCAGGGAAGGCTACATTTCACAGCTTCTGTTAACACACTGACAAATTCCTTTCCTTGGCAGTGTATCAAAACTACACCACCAGATGAGGGGGCTCATTTCATTGCACCCTCACCAGTATTGAGGGCAATGTTTATTTACACACTATCTTTGCTAATATGATTAGTAAAGAAAACAAATCCTATCTTTTTTTAAAAATTGCATATTGGGCTCATAGTAAAATAAAATCTTTGAAAGTGCTAGTAAAGGGGCACCTGGGTGGCTCAGGGGGTTGAGCATCTGATTTCTGCCCTGGCTGGTCCCAATTCTGATCTCGGGGTTGGGAATCAGCCCGATTCAGTGGGGGGCAGAGGGGGCGGTCTGCTTGTCCCTCTCCCTCTGCCCCTCCCCTGGCTCGTGCTCTGTCTCTCTCTCAGAGAAATAAATAAAATATTTAAAAACAGAAAGTGCAGGTACAGTTATAGAACACTTTAAAATTCCAAGATAAAAGGTGAATAAAGACACTTTTGCCCACTTTTCATTAATTCAATTAGTGAAAGGGAGGCAGACCCGGATCATCCCAAAAGTCACTGGATCAGAGTTTTGGTGGCCAACACTGAAACCAATTCTGATCGCTTAATCAGAAGAGAAATGTCTTGGAAAGCCAGCAGGTAGCAAACCAAAACAGACAGGAAGGCTGGAGCATCAGGTTCATCAAACAGGTAGGGTGGTTGGAATCAGAACATGTCACCCAGTCCACGTAGGACACCGCTTGGTATTGCCACTGGACATGTCTGTTACCTCTAGCACTGCTGCTTAGGAGCACAAACATCACTTCATAGATAATGACATTATTTCTAAAATGTCTCCTGTTTGAGTCAGACTCTGGATTCAAAGACCTGGATAGGAATCTCTGATGGGCTGAACTGAGGTCACATGATGGTGCCGGGGATACTAGGGGGTGGAGACTGAGTACTGGGCCATTTTGGCTTTTATGATCATTTGGATTCTAGGTAGCAAGACCTCGATCAATGACCACTATAAATATTTATGTAAAATTCTTTGTTTCATAATATTTTTTAGGAATCTGATTAATCTTTTAATTACAACTGAATTTTTAGATTGTCTAGTGGGTCATGAGATTATCTAGTCCAGAACTGCAAACTCAAATGTCTATCCTATCTTCAAATGTCAGTGGCATGAGGCATACGGGGGTGGTGGGGACTGTGGAAAACTGAAGAGCATCATCCCAGGGTCAAGGGGACACCTCTGACTTGGCTTCAGCTGATGGTTGCTAGAACCCACCATGAACCAAACGTTGCCAATTCTTTCAACTTCTCAGAACAGACCAAGAGTCTGCGTTTTTGTGAAATTTCCTGATTTTAAAATTTGGAACTAAATTCAAAATGAGAAAAACAATGACACCATCACTTTTCAAAAATCAGGGCTGCAGGCCACCTCCAAGAGTCAAACCTCTTCATTTTCAAAACCGAAACAGGGAGATGAGGCCTAAGAAGGTGGGGCATGCCTGAGGCTCAGAAGCTCAGCTGGGGCCAGAGGCAGGGCTGGAAATTTGGTCTCCCCAGGAAAAGCAGATAAGGAAAAGCCAATGTTTCACTACATGTCTCTGCAATCACTTCTCCTGGAAATAACGTCCTCCCCAAATCCGGGAAAAGCAGAACAGTGTCTGTGTTTCTTCCAGCAGAAGCAGTGTTTGTAAAATGTTTATAAATTCATAGAATCTGCTGGGGCGACAGAAAGAAATACCGTGTAGTGACGTCAGATCAGAATTTAAATCTTAACTCGTACTACTTTCTAAGTGGGTAACCAGAGACAAATTACTTCTCCGGGTCGCAATCACGGGAAACGTGAGAGCACTTTTCCTAAGGCTGTGGAGAGGATGAAATAAGATTTCACGCTGATCGTGCCGGACACAGTGCCAGGACCATACTAAAAAACGCGCCACAGGATAATAACACGATACCCAGAAGGTAGCTGACTCGTCCGCGTTACCCGGAGGGTGGGGGGGAAGGAAGAGGACTAACGCGTTTCACGGTGGGGGTGCGTTATGGATGACCCTCCAGGCGAATTCCTAACACGAGGACTAAGTGGGGTTTCCACCCACGCGCCAGCCTTCCTCGGACTCCCGTGCGAGGGTCACGGCCACGTCCAGCTGCACGGGGCGCGCGTACAGCGCAGCGTTCAAAGGGCACCCTCTCGGGGCCGCCGGGGTGAAGCCCATGGTGGCGCACGAGAGTCCCAGGGGTTCGGGCTGGGGAGGTGACGCGCAGCGCTTCGGAGGACAAAGTGGCTGCGGGTGGTTTCCCTGGCGCCCTAGGCCCGCCGCGGGGGCTCGCTGCCTGCCACCCGCGAGCTTTCTCTGCAGAATGCGGGAGCCGCCGCCGCGGAGGAGGGGCGGAGGCAGGGGCGGAGGCGGCGCCCAGGCCCCGGGGCCGGGGAGGCCGGGACCTGCGCGGCGGCGGCGGCGGGGCCGGCTGCAGGCTCGGGTCGGCCGGCCTGCGCGTGGGTTCCACAGGGACCTGCTCGGTGCGGCTTCTGGGCAGCGTGGCCGCCGAGGGGCGGCGGCGGCGGAGGAGAGCGGGGCGCGGCGGAGAAGCGGGGACGGCACGGCCAAGGCCGGCGAGCGGGCGCTCCTCACCGGGGCGGGGCGGGGGCTCGGGGAGGGGGGGCACATCACCCGGCTGCAGGCCCTTCCAGCAAAAGCCACCGCGGCGCGGGCTGCAGCGGCCAGACGGATGCCAAGGCCACACGGCAGGCGCGGGGACAGCCGCCGTCCCACGCGGGCTCCGGACACCGGGGGCTGCTGGTGAGTGGACGCGCGCGTGCGTGAGTGTGAGCCCGCTCCGGCCCGGGGCGAGGGGGCACGCCGGCGGGGGCGGGGGCGGGGGGGGCAGGTGCCCGCGGGCCCCTTTTCCGCCCGCGGCGTCCGGTCCCGGGCTTTGCTCGGCGGGGAGAAAAGGCGCGCTGCCGGGGCTCACTTCCTTCCTGGCGGTCCTGCGAGCGGCCGCCTCCGCCGCGCTGCCGGGGCGCGGCCCCCGCCGGCCCCTAGGGGTTGCGTTCACCTTGATGGGGAAGGCAGGAAGCCGTGGCTGCCGGTGGCGGGGCGGGACTGCGGCGGCGACCTCTGCGAGTGTGCTTCTGATTCCCACTGGGGATGCAGCCTGGGGGAGGGTCCGGCGTCCCGAAGGACCGCCGCTCTGCTTCTGGGGCGCGCTGCACAAACGGACCCTCACCCCTGCAGGACGAGCGGCGCGCCTTTCTAGATGGTGTTTGATTTTGTGCCTTCTCTCAGCGACTCTAAGACACGTCCCCTCACCTGGATCATTGAAGCCTTAACCAAAGCCTTTTAATGAAGTCCACAAAGGAAGTGGAATGTGGCTGAGACATAATTTTCCAAAACTCTCTGAAACAACCCCCGCTGCGGATCCAAGAGCCTAAGGTGCTCTAATTACTGAAAAGGAAAAAAAAATTAAAGTTGTATAAGTAATAAGTTGTTTAGGAAACAGAACCTGATAGAGAGGATTGGAGAAAGTCTTGTGTTTGGTTGGCGTGGGGGGAGGGGTGGCTTTCTGGAAATCAGTGTTTGATGTAAGTACAACAGACATCTTTCAAAGTAAGCCCCAGCGAGCACCCTGCTTTGCAAACATCCTGCTAATCACTGAGAATGAAACGAAGTCCTGGGTTTTAGGGGTGTCCAAAATGATCGTGGCTATCTAGGGTGCGGATTTACGATCTCATGATTCAAGGCCCTGTCAAGGTCAATATGGCAGATTTGTTCCAGCAGTTAAATTACACCTGGATGTTTGATATCCTGTTCCAAGATTGGGGGTCGGGGGTGAGGGGGAGGGGAAGAATTACTTTTTCTATGGTGGTTTTACACAGAGATTAAGCCACTGTGTTCTGTTTCTTTCCAGACCTCCTTTCGGTTGGCAGTCTTGTAGGCATTGTGTAGTTACCCTCTAAATATTTCTGTTTCTTTCTAATTCAGGTTAGTGCCTTTGAGAAACACACTCCTCTTGTTTCCCATTTTCTCCATTGCAGCATCTTCATTCAAAGACATGAAATGTTACTGGAATCTACCTAGAAAATGAACGGGCTGCTTGTTTTCTGTCCAAGCATATAGACAGCAAATAGTTTGCCCCTCAGGAATCTGTTTTTGCATATACTTCAGCTGTCATTTCTGTATGAGCTGGTTCTTGGGAATTTTAAGAAGAAATGTGCTTTCTTATACTCTTTCGTGAAATAAGCACCATTTAAATGATCAGGCAGAGAATCCTAGCCCTTGATTCATATTGCCAACTTCTGGGGGCCAGTTTCTTGCCTACTCTTGGGTCTTTTGGTAGGACCCATTACCGGTGAGAGGCTTGGAGGAAGAAATGGCAGAATCATGGCCCCAGGGTATCTTCCCCAGAGAGGTTTCTCCTGGAGAGGAGAATGTCTCTGGGGTTGGCTCCTGAAAAGACAGATAAAAATAGTTAGGGAATTGCTAGTAATAGCTACCTCTTTTTACTTTCGGCACATAGGACTTAACACAGCTTGGTTCATATTCCTCCTTTAAGGACCCTTCCCAAGCCTACTTACAGGTACAATCCCAGAAGTGAGGTTGCCTTTTACAGAGAAGAAAAGCCTGGTACTTCTTGCTCAAAATATGAGGGGGCAGGAGGAATGTGAGAGGTGCCCAGGAATCCCAGCTGCCTACCTGGAAGGATACATTTACCAGTTAGACTACATTTTAATCCGCTGGGTTTATGATTGTGCCCAAAGCTAGCATTTTTTTCTCAGCACTGTGAGGGATTTGTAAGTAACTTGAGTTGAAACTATGAGAAATGACTCATGGTCATCCTTGAGAATATGTGAGTGAGTTTTTGGTCCCTTAGGCTAATGGATTACAGCTGCTCAATAAATATTTGTTACGTGAATAGCAATTCTAAAATGTTTATCTTCCCAATTTAACTCTATCACCTCTTCTAGTATGGATGATTTTTAGCCATAACTTGGTATGAATTAGCAATCATTTCATCCAATTGAAGCCCAGTTGATACACTCAACTAAGACTGACTTCCTCAACCAAAGGAACTGTAAGAATCCCTCCAAAACAAAACAAAAGCAAGCAGACAGCAATGTATTGGTACCTGTTGACTTGCTCATCCCAGCTATCTGAAATTGTGAATTGTCCAGTTGGACATGTGAGTGGCCATTCAGAAATCCTGAGTTGACATCAGAATGTTCAACTCAGGAATAATCTGGATGTGGCTACATCTGGATGTGGCTTTTGTCAGAAATGATTTGCATTTCTAAGCAAATCAGGTGAACTTCTGGTACATTCCTGTATCTCCTCATGCTAAGTAGAAGAGCCAATTAAACATTTGGCAAATTGCTAAGTCTTCAAAACCTATGTTGTTTGATTTTTTTAATTTTAAATTAAATCCATGTTATGTTTGTCCATTGATGTGATTGCCTTAGAGATATTAATTCAGACTGCTGGTTACTTAGTAACTTAGATTTATTAAAAGCAGCCCCTGGATATAAATACAAATAATTCGTATGTTTTGGTTTGCTCTGGTTAGCCTCTCAAGGTACTCTTGGAAATGGGTGCATTCTCTGATCTTGAATATTAAGGGTATTATACCTTTTTTTTTTTTTTTTTAAATAGGGTGACTTTCCGTCCCCAATCCTTAGAAGTTTACCCTGTGGTTCATGATCTAGTTTCAGAGTGAAAGATAAGAAAGCTGTCTGAAATTTACCTGGATATTAACATTAGAGTGCACATTAATAATAACATTTTCTCTTTGGTATCCTTCCCTTTACGTCTTTCAGTCAAGCTTGTTTCATTCTGAACAAAAGTCAGGTGAGATCCTTCAACATTTAAAATTTTTTTCTATTGGGCTATGTTCAAAATAAATATGTAAAATAAAACATTGTTTATCACTGTGGTTTTGAAGTAACATCAACACTGCTGTTCTCTATGTAATGAAGCATGATCATTCTTTTTTTTTTTAAGATTTTATTTATTTGACAGAGAGAGAGACTGCGAGAGAGGGAACAGAAGCAAGGGGAGTATGAGAGGGAGAAGCAGGCTTCCTACTGAGCAGGGAGCCCTATGCGGGGTTCGATCCCGGGACTCGATCCCAAGACCCTGGGAACATGACCTGAGCCAAAGGCAGACGCTTAATGGCTGAGCCACCTAGGCACCCCTAAGCATATTTATTTTAGAGAGAGAGAATGAGAGACAGAGAGCATGAGAGGGAGGAGGGACAGAGGGAGAAGCAGACTCCCCGCTGAGCAGGGAGCCCGATGCGGGACTCGATCCCGGGACTCCAGGATCATGACCTGAGCCGAAGGCAGTCGCTTAACCAACTGAGCCACCCAGGCGCCCTAAGCATAACCATTCTTATTAAGGATTTATTTGGTAAGTAGGCATTGATCTCTTGAACCTGAGTTAAAGGAATGTTCTTTCCATGTCTTATTAAGGCCCTCGAAAGCCAGGGTGTGGCATTTTGATTAGACGAGGTGGCCAATTCAAGGTCGGTTCATTGAAAGGAGTAAGTGACAAAAGCGTCCTTTTAGAAGAGTATTTGGCACCTGGCTATTTGGCACTTGAGTGGATTCGTAGAAGAAGGGAATTGGGGTAGAATCTAGTGGCAGATAATGATGGCCTGACGTAGCATCCCAATGACACCGAATGGACAAGGGAGAATGTTAGGCAGTCAGACCAATGTCATATGTGGATGAGGGTCAGTGCACCTGACCATGACCATGACCTCACTTGTTCCCCCTCGGTTGATCACAGCATCCTTTCCTGCTGAGCCCTGGTGTAACCTCAGAATCTTGCAAACACTGGCCAGATATTTATTAATAAATAAAGTACCAGGCACTGTACAAAACCTTAACACATGTCATCTCAAGGATGGTGGCATGGTTAGAAACATGGATTCTTTGCCATTGACGAGCTGTGTGTCCTTGGGCAAGTTACTAATTTCTCTGAGCCTTGGTTTCTTCATTTTTCAATTGAGGTATTCATTTCTGTCTCATAAGGTTTGGAGCAGGGTTAAATGAATAAAGTAGGTGTAAATGAAAAGTGTTTAGAAGTTTCTGACATGACGTTAAGTGCTGTATGTGTTGTTATTATTAATTCATAAAACAACCTTATGCAATAGGTATCATTTTGAAGAGTAAAAAATTGAGTACAAAGAGGCTCAGGGTCATAGCTGGGAGTGAAAGGCAGACAATGACCCCAGGGCTTGCTTTCATAACGTGTATACAGGGCTGTCTGCTATCCTGCATGCGCGGTGCTCGGAATGCTACTTGGGGCAGGAAACGTGGGTGCGGGTCCCCTGGAGAGTCAGGGCGCCAGTCATTTCCATTGTGGAATTGGCCATCTCCAATATAGAATGAATACCCAGTGTACAGAATTTTTGCTAGTTTTCCTAGATGTTTTGGTCTTTGGGGAATCGTAATTTTTCATGAAGTTCTTTATTTTATTTTATTTTTTTTAAAGATTTTATTTATATATTTATTTATTTGACAGAGAGAGACACAGCAAGAGAGGGAACACAAGCAGGGGGAGTGGGAGAGGGAGAAGCAGGCTTCCCGCCTAGCAGGAAGCCCAGTGCGGGGCTCGATCCCAGGACCCTGGGATCATGACCTGAGCCGAAGGCAGACGCTTAACGACTGAGCCACCCAGGTGCCCCTTTTCATGAAGTTCTTTATTAAGAGGTGTTCCAATGTGCGTTTTCACATGTGCTTGAAAAACAGGCTTTTTTTTGTTTCTGACAGGTGACATATGCAGGGAATACCCATTTGTTA